TACGAGCGTATTCCGGGATGAGGTTGCCTTACTGTCGGCTGTAATTTATAACACAATATAGATACCCTAAGTTTTAACTCTCACTATATTTTAAAAAATAAGATTATTTAAATTTTTCATGAATTTTGTCAATATCTCAAATATATACAACAGAAAATTTGTGTTCATTAAAACTCCATTTAACGTTAGCTTTAATATTATATAGTGAGCATTGTCAATTGACCTATTTTCATACTTAAAGGTAGAACATTATCTGTGTTTGTACATTGATTTTTAAATTTTTAAGCGATGTATGAGTGTGAAATGTAAAATATTATGACATAAAAATTAAAAATACTCAATATCTCTTGAATAAAGATTTACTGTGTTATTGTACATATGCAAGAAGGATCAATATATTATGTAAGTGTGCTGTAAGATTCCTATATTTTAAAGTATCTATTTAACTATTTGTTTGTGTCATTTAAGAAGTATCACGTGATAATGTTTTCTTTTCAAATGAGAACTTAATTTTAACTGTAAATTATTATGCAGACGAAATTTTTAATTTTGATGAAAGCATATGAACTGAAATTCAAACGTGAAGCTTATACATTTTTAAACTTTATATATTCAGAAAATAGCCAATGCTAATAAGTTAGAAATATAACAGTTATGGTGTGGCTATAATTATTTGAAAATCATACTAATTGATTTTGTAGTTTCTAAAAGTTGTTTTTAGTTTGGGGACAATCAGTATACTATATAATATATAGACTAATTATTACATCTATTTTATATTTTAAATAAAAAACCATATGATCATTATCTTTTTAATACGTAAAGTTTAATATTATTCAGAAGTTGCTTGTTTATTTATTATTCAATTTAAATGCATCAACATAAAAAAATAAAAAATAAAAAAATATAAAAAAGGTAGTTTTGTTTGATAATTATAAATTTATGTCAACATAGGACATTCTTTAAATAGTATAGATGGATCCAAAAATGTTTGTAATGTGTGTATATAGTGTTTATATTTTACATAATATATTATATGTGTGTAACGTCAGTTGACGATAATAAATTATTTTTTTTTAGTTATCCATAAGTCAAAAGTATGTCCCCTCTATACATTTGAACATATATTTCATATAGTCATAAAAGAATATAATTATAACCGCTAGACTATTGTACGATCAATTAATCGATGATGATGTGGCGGCGACGATGACACGAGGATATGACGATTACAAATAATTAACAATGAACCTACGTACGAAATTACTTTTTGGTGACATTGTATGTTATTATTTATTATGGTCCTTTTCCTTTTTACCTTTTTCCGTCGTAAATGGGTTGCAAACACTATAACGCCGAAAACTAGCAGCTAGTATGTATTTTGTATTTAAAGTACTAAATCGTGCAAACAGTTGGCGGGACATTATGTACAATGTGTAAGCGTATAGAATTGAAAACTATACAGTTTTTTTGCTCACCTAGAATGTTTGGTACTAGTATAATAAAATATGTGCACAGTTGCAAGACTGTTTTTTTTTTTAAATTAAATACAATTATTACTTTTTTCAGATAATTAATATATTTTGAAACACTAAAAAGTTTTAATAGAAGCTATTGGCAAAAATAATTTATAGTAGAAAAATTAAAGCATTAGTAAGTACTTAACTTAACCTATCCTCGTAAGTCGTACACGTGTTAATGAGTCATGATACTTAACGTGCTCAGTTCCTTCGATCTAAACTTTTAAATGATGAATATAAAAATTAACTATATTAGTTTTGATGCTATAGTAAATAGTTGTGTTTATAATTTACAACAATTTCTAATATTGAATATAAAATTTAAAAAAAACTTCAAGTATGTAACCACTCTTCTGTACAATAGGTACCAATAGTGTGTCACCGTAGACAATAATATAATAGATGACAAGTTAAATTTCAATTCAATGATAAATTATTGTAAGTGGTAAAAAATAATTCTGAGCAGAGACGGTTTTAAATTTTGTAAACAACGTTAGGTTAGGTTTTTAGTTACTCAAATAATTATTTCAATAATAATATTAAAACTTTAACAAATAAGTTAATATTTTTTTTTGGTTATTTAAAAAAAAATACTAAACAATTTCTACTTTTTACCTCCAATCAATGTACAAACTAAATCCAATTCGCTTCTAGAAATCTTCTTCAAAATTGATGAGGGGATGAATAATTTCTCTACTAAAAAATATATTTTCAATAACAAAAATAACGGGAAAAAATTTAAAAAAATCACATATCATTGTAAAATTAATATATTTATCGTTCTATTCAGAATATAATCAAATTATTATGAAAAAAAAAAAAAAATGAATGTTTTAAAAGTTTCTAATAATGCCATTAAAATTCACAGGATCAAGGCTATTGAAATTTTAGTAAGCCAAAGGCACACGTAATGTATTTTGATAAACATTAAATCAGTTTTATTTATGATTTAACATTATAACTAGGCTTTAATTTTAATAAACTAATTAACTGATATTCTGATACTAAAAATAGGAATCCAAGAAACGTTGTCTCTTTACCTAAACTTTTTATTAGATAATAATATGGGGTACCTACCTAATAAGTGAGATACAATTAAAATAAGTCTTCTTATTATTATTTTCAGAGAAATTAAAGGATGTTTATAATTTTACAAAATAAAATATATCTAATGACATTTAAAATATTCAATACCCGGATATCCCTAATTATTATGATTGTAGTCGTGCATTAACTTTAAACTTATTAATTATTAGTGTTGCAATAATTCAATTTAGTTAATAATTATGAATAAGTGATAATAAAACCGTTTCAACGGCGACAATCAATCTAATCACAATTGATATTTTACTGTTACTTTATATATTAATGAGTGTTTTCCCCATTCATTTTTCCAAATATTTTTATTTTTATAACTTATTTTTAAGCTTTTTAATTATTTAAACGAACAATACATATTTTTGATTCCATACTTGAAAGCAGAAATAAAAACCGTTACAATGTTAGTATGTTACAATATTTTAATGTTTTTACAAGAGCAAAATTAATTATCAGGACACAATTTTTCGGGATAAGACTTGTCGATGTACCTAAGGACATATACAAATAGATGTTATGTAATATTTACATACACACACAGTGTACCCCATATGGCCATATTGTAAGTATAAAGTACTTTTTTAAATAACGAAAACAAATAAAAATAAAAAAAAACCGACACTCTGAAATCTGATTAACAGTAGGTACGACATAAATTAAATTATACCTACTAGCGATTTGCATAATGTATTAAATATCTGTTTAGTCTAATCTAATGTAAATGACGGTGGCCACTGCGACGACGAGTTCATCGAGCTCAAATATTATTATTATTTATTATCGCTGCTGGTTTCATAATTCATTCTGTATAATAGTAATATTCTTTTCGATGCGGCCTGCCGAGTGACCGAACAAACGGTGTGCTGTCTATTCGTACGCGTAATATTATTTTGGTCGCGTTCCAAAGAAGATTAAGGAAAAAAAAAACAACAGAGTTTTTTATATTATGTTTATACAGAGCGAACGAATTATAAATCCGTTTCATATATCGCGTGCTATGAATATTTTATTTAAATAAACAGGAAATATACAAAAGTAATACGAGCGGTACCCGTGAGTCTAGGGTCAGACTGAGAGGTATGCGGAGCACTATTGTATCTTGATAAACTAATCGTGATATATTGTAACTATAAAAATTGTTAATTTCAAAATTTAGCAGCTCCCCTCGACGTATGAACTGTGTCGCTATGCGCTACAGTTGTAGGTACCTACGTATACGAGTCAGCCATTCCCTGTCAATGACCGCAAGTCATATATTTATATATCTCATAATATTATAGGTACATATTATGTATTGGTATATATTTTTTTATTAAGTTCAACTGATTTGAATCAATGCTGTAACAGATAGTCATGCTCGCATAATCTTTGGACAGTTTTTAGCATGTCGAGTTGTTTAGTTTGGTTTTGGGATTGACAATAACACGGCACATTCCGTCGTAACGGTGTCAAAAATACATTGTCGTGATCAGTGAATATTCACACGTCCAGGGTAAACAAAATTTTACTAAACGGAATGATTCTTTAACATTCTCTCCTTTTCAATTTGATAAAATAAACATAGACTAGAACTCGTGGGCGGGAGTCGGCAGTTTAAAAACGACTAATCGTATCAGTAGATGAGCAATTTTTAAGCATTCCTGATGCCGAGTCGTACAAAAAAATGTATTAATTCAATAGTCGAATAACCGTGGGCTACCAAATCATGTTTAACGCATCACTATTAGCTTATTATCGTTCTAATAAACTTTAGTGCTTGTTCATGCGCAATCTGGAATAAGTGTCGCACGTTATTCGATATCAGATTTTATTTTATAATAACGAAAATCGCGAAAAATACGATCCAAAACGTATTGCCCATATTATGTATGTCGTCATTCCGACGTGTCTTCGTCGTGACTATAAAGTTTTCAAAAATTCGTTTGTGGGTAAAACAACACGTTACTCTGATTACTTACTCTATTTTTTTGTTGTGTTAATTATTTTCAAAGATTATCACGTACCCATCACCGTAATTGCTAATTTTAAACGATTAGTCTAGAAGCGCGTACGCATTGAACGCCTTCCCGCAAGATTATAGAAACGAGTAAGAAAATTTAAACGCGCGACGCTGTAACACTAATGTACATACATACATTACATATACTATATTTTTGTCGTTGGTGCCAAGCAAACTGCCGCTGCCGCTGCTCACGGTAACATATTATGCTGTAGCAGTAATCGCGTAATAGACGTCGAGCGGGTTCATCGTCGTCCCGAGGATCCTACGCGCCTTCCTCCTCGTCGTAACTTCCCCACCACCTCCCCAAATATATCCTACGAAAGCCATTACCAACGCCCCGGCGCGTACCACCCGTTGGACGAGACGACCCGGTGGCGCGCCAGTCCCCAACGCGGTTCACAATCCGTTCGCTCGTTTAAAACCGTGTATGCGTGTGGCGTGACAACTCAGATCGCTGCCCGACTCGTCGCCGGCAACAAGTAATAAGACTGACGATAAAAACATAACATTACGATATAATACCGTATACGCGTTATAGCCTATTACAGGTAATGTTATTATTATTTATTAAATTATTTCAATCATTACAATTATTTACAACCCGTGTGCGATGACTATAACGCGTCGCACAATATTATCTACAACCGTCAATGTAATTTAAATTTTTAAACAAAAGTGCAACGTTGCCTCTACATACTATATACCTACAGTATAATACGCATATTGTACGCAGCGTAAAAAATTATAGATATTAAAAGTATTTATATCGCGTTTGCCGCAACGTTATTCGCACATGTAGAACACTACACCTGCTGTGTATAAATTGACACCATGATATTTTATATATACTTGCATACGTCACAGGCTACCAGGCAGCTACGTACACAACAAAATGTAACATTATTAAACACGCGATCGACGACGAGTCGATGACAAATGAAAACAATTCGATAAACCAAAACATTTAGTGTTATTTTAGCCATAAGTACCGTTTATAATTTTAATAATCGTGCGTGCAAATGTTTTGCTGCAGGCAGACTGTTGAAATTTTGACACCGAAGCAGATGACCCGCAGAACATCGACGGCCAAAGAGAAAGAACACTGCGTTGATTGGATCGACCTTGAAGACATTCGAGATCAAGTGAGTATTAGTACCAAAGTATTTTCATTTAAATTCAAAGTAATTCGTTAAAAATTTTTTAATTAATATATATTTAACGTCTATTGCAATGTATTGTGGAGGTACTTACCTAATCAATCGTGTTAACAGATTTGTATTCCATAAAGATTAAAGTGTTAAATCTTATTTTTTTAAATCAAACCCTCACTTTTAAGTTGTATTTCTTGTGGCAAAAGAATATTTAGTAGTAGTTGATTCAATTCCTTAAAATAATTGAGAAATTAATTGAAGGAAATACTTAATATACACGGCTATACTTACGTATAATTTTATAAAATGAATATGAAGTCAATTTTTGCAATTTTAGCTATTAAATTTTATGTTTTTAATTATTGTTTCTTTGAACAATGATGTACCCATATGCTTTAATTCAAAATCATGATTTCTGTTGGATAGGTACTTAATGTTTACTATTTATTATAATTATATATAATTAAAAAGTATAATTTTAACATAAAAAATTAAATTATAAAAACACATCCAAAATATGATTTGTTTTGTTATTATGTGTATAGGTTTTTAGACGATTTTAAATCAAAGAATGTTTTTCTTATAAATTTAAGTCAACTTCAAACAAATGTTCTTGTATTTGTAACAGGATTAAGGATAAAATATGCAAAATTATGATTAAAAAATATAAATTTAAGAATGCAAGCGTGAGACCACGAGATATCTTAATACATTTGAATTTATAAACTTATAGTATAATAATTTATAACTAATAAGACTTGTAAAAAATAAGGTTATTGTCAAAGTAATTTTTTTGTAAGAAGGCCTTTAATCGTGTTGAATGCATTATTATTATTATCATCATCATCAGTGTACACAAGGCCACACCTAGATATTTTTCCAGTGGAGATCTGACTTATAATTTTGGATAATACTACATTAAAGTCTTAACTTAAAGTAAAAAATAAAATAAAAAAAATAATTTAGAATTAAAAAATTTATATTAATATCAAAAATTATTTTAAATATTTATAATATAATTTTAAAGAAATATCACCTATCCAGATATCGCAGTTCCCCCTTATACGACCTTGAGCGGTATAATAGTCAAATTAATTTAAACACTAAATTAAAAAAATATATTGTATGAACGATAACACTGTGTTTAAACATGTACGAATATACCTATGTAGCTATTTGGTATTATAATAATGTAGTACTTAGTACTTACTTACTTGTATAAATTACTTATGTAAAACAAGTTTAAAAATGTTTATTTATGCACTTAAATAGATTGTAAGTGTACAAAAATAGTTAAATCTGGGAATGGTTAGTAAAACAAATTGTATGACATTAAACTATTTATAATTTTAATATAGTTGATAAGAGCTGAAATTGTTTTGTTATTTTTTGACATTTATACCTAATATTTTAATAATTATCAATGTCAAATGATATAAAATTGCGATTATAGGTGATCGGGGTTTTCAATAAAAATCACATAATTAAACGAGAATAGATGAACTAAATCTGGTGACAAGAATTATCAGATATTGACCATCGGTTCCTAACATCGAAATAATATTACATCTGTGTATATATGAACATATGGTATAATCTGACTTCTAATGATAATTCATTTTAAATATTTTTTTTATATTTTGAGCCAATTCTGTAATGGTTTTACAAAAGTTAATATTTATTTCTAAAGATAATTTTTCTATATCAGAAAATATTGATTCAATTTGTATCACCAAAGTGATCGGATTTAGTTTGTACTTAGAAGAGGGAAAAAAGGTCAAAAGTAACAGAATTCCTATTATTATTTTATTTTCTTGAATAATGTCATTAAATATACACAGAAAATTATATTTATGTAATAATAATAGAATAGAATGTTTCAAGTTTTTATGATAAATATTTTTTTAATCATAAATAACGAAATAACAAAAAACTAAAAAAAATATATGATACAACTGAATATTAAATATATCAAGATTTAAACTTTATTAGATGATAAAAATTGAGACTAACATTTTTTTTTAAATTTTCAGTAATGAATATATGTAAGAAATCTGCATTAAATTTAGAATTAGAATCTTATAAACAGAAATTTTGTCAAAATCAACAAAATAAAAAATAAATATTTAGAATAGAGTTTTATAGATTTTTGACTCTTTTTGAGTTAACTATTCATAGTCATTTGATATTTTTGTCTTAATTTAGTTTTTAGTCAATATATTTTTTGTTTAAACCTCGAAAATTGAATTCAATGTTTCGCAAAAGTAGTTCTTAGAGCAATTAAAAATACATATTTTCCCATGGTTAACTTGTAAGTGTCTAATGTTAAAAAGTTTAATAGATAGTGCAAAGTTTGATAATTTATCAAACAAAGCTTAACAATTTAGTTTTTAGTAAATACAAATAAATAAATAAACAAAGTTAATACATTCAAAATTCGAATAATTGTAAATTCTAAGTGGATTGACGAATGAATTGAATTTAAAACGATATTTCTGTGTTTTTTTTTTTTTTTTTATTATTATTATTTATGAGTACAGAATAAGTAGCTAATACAATGCTTCAATTTTCAACTTTAAGTGTGGTTTTAGATAGAAAATTGATCTAGTTTGTAATTTAAAGATTATAAATTATAATTGAAAAAAATAAAAAAAAAATTAGGAAAACCGGGAATTTTAAGTAAATCTAAATTTTCAACAAAACCTATTTTGTTTTTTTTTGGTGTAAATCGATGACAATTAATTCTAGATACTTGAAATTTTCTTAAAATATTTATATTGTTATTTTATATTCATGATAAAATTTACAAAATATTTGAACTATTTTTGAGCTAATTATAATTTTTATGCCTATATAAATTTGAAATAAGAATTTTGACAACGTTTTGAATGAATTGCAATAATTTCTATAGTTAAAAATTCATAAAAGGAAACATTTTTGTATTGGTAATTTATAATTTTTACTAGTTTTTATTATATTATTATGAATTTTACTAAAAACAATGAAAATTTTGATTTTTTTTTTTTTATATATTACCTAATTATATTATGAACTTATTTTTACTATTTACTGTATTTACAAAAAGATGTTATCACATTTTAAGTTATACGTATAAGTTGATATAAACTATAAATATATGTTATTGTAATAACTAAATACTAATAATATAATAAATACAATTGTTATATATTAACCTATTATAATACTAAAAGTAAAATAAATTACTTTAATAGGTATATTAAAAAAAAAAATATCACGAAACATACTTATAGTGATAGATATAAATTGACAGACTGTCTATACTCGGAATTGTTTTCCGCATATATAATGAATAATGATATATTATTGAATTAAAATTAACACATTCATAAAAAATATTGTAAGTTATAATGCTCTAGAAATTAATAATGGGTTTCCTATAACGATTTTGCTGTTTTGTTATATGATTGAAACTTTACACTATTACGTTTATTATTATTATTTTCAAATTATTTAGATTAATATTTTAAGATATTTATTTCACAATTCTATTCATATAGTATTTTAATATACATCAGTATTAATAGTTCATAAAAATACTAAACGTTATAGAATATGCGATGTTTTGACAAAAAAAAAAAAAAAAAAAACAACACTAGTAATATAAATAAATTATAAACTATTCTTACAGAGGCTGGTCAGCCTATTCGCTCAATATAATATATTAATATATAATATATATATTATATTGTTTTTCGTATACAATGATTTATTATTTATCATTGAATTGAAGAGACTATAAAGACTTCAATAATGAATTCGGATAATTTTGGAAGGGTCATTTTGGTGTAAACCTATTTCGACGTAGTCTGCACTTTTTTTCATCGCGTAATGAATTAAATTAAATTAAAATTTATTCAATTATTACTATTTAATATTAAATAAATTAATAATTCATCTTTATTTTTTTTTTTTGAGTTTTACATCATTTAATTTACCCTCTTCCTCACTGGTTTTCCTTGAAAGTGTAAATAGTTTTGATGTTGGCGTTTATTATAAAAGAAGATTTAATCAAGGCTATTGATTTATACATTTATACTGATAAATGAAATACACGACAAAGTTATCTTCTTTTGAATTGTCTTGAGGATAATTAGATTGAATGGGTAAAACAAAACACGAGATGAATTTTACGTTTTCACCTGTGCTATGGGACATTAACGAATATGTACCTACTTGATATAGAGAGGCTTTAAGATAACTTAATCAGCAAATTGGAGTGCAAAATCTAGCCATATGGGACAATACAATCATTTCTCGTTTAATAAAGTATCATATGGATGAGGACATATTAACAACAACTAAAAGCAGAAAAAAGTTCTGTAAGAAAAAAAAATGAAAAATATAAAGTAGTATATAAAGTACCTACCTAATATAATACAGACTTTTGTTTAATTATAATAATTATCATCATATTATTTATGTTTTAAGGTTAGTATAGCTAATTACAAATGTCATACATTAAAAAAAAATTATAAATCTAGTTTTTATCTGATCAATTTTACTTTTACATAACATTTTGATTTTTATCATTATTATTTATATTACTTACTATTAAATTAATATGTTTCAGAATTTTTATTTTAAATATAAATAAGTAGTTATAAAAATATTTGGTAACATTTTTTTTTAATGTAATATAATAGTTTATATCTAGACACGGTTTACACTAAAATGGTATCTAACATCGAAAGTATGCCCTATAGACTGACTCAACGTACGTTACGTTGACCCAAAATATACTAGAAACCGGGTTTATTTTTTATAATTTGACTGTTGATGTGATGAGTAACGGTAAAAGCCACTTAGTTTAACGTTTTCAGATTCAGTTTTTATGAGGTAAAATTATAGGTATATCTTATGTACTATAATGATACCTTTTAACCGGTTCAACATCTGATGTGTTTGTTTTTCATATAAAATATCGTTAAATGTTTAATAAACAGTACTGT